AGTCATCGACTAATCGACTAATCGTAGCAGCCCTAGTCATGTCAGAGTGTTTCGATTATTGGTGAGATTGGTGGAATGCATGCAAGTGAGGAGTCATGTGCTGGAAACAAGCAGAAATTCTTAAAAGAAGCACTTCCTTAAATCTTGTATAACTGTCTGAACTTGGAKGGGGAGTTTCTGTTAAATTAACTATATGAACCTTTCTCTCTCCGTACCTGGCTGTYTTTGACACATTAGCTTCCACTCCTGAGTCTTTTGTCTGACTGGGACCACCATCCTGATTCCAGAGTTCCTGGGGTCAACCCAGCAGTGACCCGTCTGTGTGAGGTTCTTAGGGAAGGGAACTAATGATGGTTAAATTTCAACACAGGAGCTCTGGAGGCTCGTTAATAAGTGACTTCTTCCTGCAGCACACAGCTCTTTGCWGGGCACAGCGAATCATTTATAACCCCCCTCTGACAGTGGTAACGTGGCTGCCCAGAAACAGAATAKTCCTTTGTGTGTGAGGTTTTTTGGAGGACATGTTTCACACTGTACACTGCTCCCATGATGATTAGCTCGCAGTCWTTGTGTCAGAAATTGTGGAAAAGTATGGATCTAAATTGGGGTCATAAGGTTTGTTCAAAATAAAAAAAAAAATTTGAAACTGAAAAATATTTTTGAAACTGAAAAACAATGCATTACAATCTGGAAAAGTTTCAAACATCTTGTCTTTTCAGTTTCAAATAATTTTTTTCAGTTTCAAACTTTTTATTTTCAGTTTCAGAGTTATGACCCTGATTTAACGTGGGGGGCGGGGCCTCGGATGACAGGCGGTGCAGAATCATGATTGACAGCTCAACACGAGCTGGACAAGGTGTTGCATTCAGGAACCACCAGCTATGAGTGGAATGTTTTCAGTCCAATAAATGTCTCTTATTAGAGGTTATCAGTTCTAAAATGTCTGCAGACTGTCCTTCCTTTACCTCCTYGTAGGTTGGAAGGCACTTATCATCTGTATGCCTGATAATATGCATTCAGGCTTAAGTGGGTTTGGCTTTTCCCCCTGGACGTGGAGCCCAGGCGGTCTGCCTGACTCGCTTTGACCAGGGGAGGCACTCGATCTGCGGCATGAAGACCTAAGCTGTAGCCGGGGCTCGCTCCAGGCTTTGCTGCTAACAGACAGACAGCAGAGTTTTCCAGGTCTGCTCAGATGCGTTTCAAACTTTATTCAGCTGTTCTCTGCTGCGATTAACATTTCCTGAAATTATTGTGTGTTTTTATTTCTGTTTGACGAGGGAGAGGGGAATATATTATTTAATCTAAGACAACCAAAATCCTTCTGTTGTCCAGGAGGAGTGAGAGTGACATCCAGGAATCGCTGGAGCTCCGCACTGGCCAGCTATCAACCTGTCCCCGCCTACAGGGCTTGATCTGTGGCCAAGTTTGGACAAAATACCCCCTGTTGCTTCTTGGGCTTATATCTCAAAAATTACTGAACAGATTTCTATGAAACATTCAGGGAATGTTTATTACACTTCCATGAAATGTTCAATACACCACAGAGAACAGAAGATTAAAGTTAAAATCATTTCAGAGTGCGTGCACCACTCTGATCTGATCCAAGAACCGCTGGAGAAACTCCGAGCTGCTGCTCTGAAGCG